CGGCTGGCCTGGGAACGCCTTGGGATTCCCCCAGAGGAGCTGGACCAAGTGGCTGGGGAGAGGGAAGTCTGGGCCTCCCTACTTAGGCTGCTACCCCCGCGACCCAACCACGGATACGCGGAAGAAAATGGATGAACGGATGGATGGATGGTGGATGGATGGATGGATGGTGGATGATGGATGGATGGATGGATGGATGGATGGTGGATGGATGGATGGATGGATGGATTGATGGTGGATGGATGGATGGATGGATGGATGGATGGTGGATGGATGGATGGATGGATGGATGGTGGATGGTGGATGGTGGATGGATGGATGGGTCCAGCGTATTAAAAGTAAACCTGAAGCCCATGCTTTCCACTGAGCTGTCTGCTCGTAAATCTTTGTGATATAGCAGGAGATGGAGATCTTTACAGCGTTTGGGGAATCAGCTGGAAGTTTGTTGCAGAGTTCGCTGGTCGGCTGCTTCACTTTTCATCTTCCTTCCACATATTTGTCATATTTACAAAATACTGTACCGCAATTTTATTTTACACTTCTTGCAAACAACTGTGCTCTTGTTAAGCTCTGTCTTCCCCAGAACATTGTAGGATCTGAAATGACTTTACACCGTTTTTTAACAGTAAAGGAGAGGGTTGAATCTCTGTCCACCGCTCCATGCTAGTGGACTTCATTCAGATAAAAGGAGCTGGCTAACTAGCTTGCTGTACGGTGGCCTACAAGACCAAATTCTACGATCCTGGCCATTCAGAATTGCCAGGACTAAAAATCTAGATTCTTTAATGTATCTATTTTTTCTGCACCACTAGTGATGTTAGCCTTCCTGTGTTTACTCAGTAGATTCCGGTACAGAATGGACCTACCTGCGTCATCAACCCAGCATGCATTGCACAGGTGAAAAGATGATGACCTCCATGGGTGAAAAATACAAGAAAAGATATGTTTGTGAAGATGAGTTTTTACAAATCACAACAGCAATTTTTAAGTTAATAGGGAAATTACAACATATTTAGTCCAACATGTTCAACTCATCATGGTTCCCTTTAACATGTTGTGACCACTCAGACCCCAATATGTAACACACACACACACACACACAATTCTCTGCCTCACTGGTTTTAAACTGATGTGCAGCTCCAACAATGTTCAGTCAGGTCATCTGGACGTTTCTTTTTTGTGCTGAGACGTTTCGCCCTCCATCCAGAAGCTTCATGAGTCTGAGGAAACACCCAACAAAGCTGCTTCTCCCCCAACAGCTTACTCTAAAGTGGGAAAAACAGTTATGTTGGTGCTAAGATGGCCTCGGGGGCACACCCTCTCCTCCGGTGCCTGCCCTCTCCCTCGTCGACAGTCATGTCAAACTAGTCTCAGCACAAAAAAGAAACAGATGACCTGACTGAACATTGATGGATTGTATACCTGGATCATTGAGCTCAGTTTCATCTTTACATACACCTCTGTCCTTTAAATCAGTGTGTGTGTGTGTGTGTGTGTCCTTGTTTATGCTACTTTGTGAGGCCCATTTTTCCAACTTATACTGCATTGTGAGGACCAACTGCTCCTTATGGGGCCCAAAGCCCGGGCCCCATAAGAAGAAGTCCCGTTGGTGGGTTAGGGGCTAGGTTTAGGACTAAGGTGTGAATTGAGGATGTGTTAGGTTTAGGGTTAGGTATGTACTGGTAATGGTTAGGTTATGGATAAAGGTCATGGTTAGGCTATAGAAATGAATGAAAAATGAATGGAAGTCAATGCAAAGGCCCCATAAAGATAGCAAAACAAACGTGTGTGTGTGTGTGTGTGTGTGTGTGTGTGTGTGTGTGTGTGTGTG